TTGAGAAACATGTTTAAATAGCAGAGAGCTGTCTTGCTAAATACAGCTGCAATCACAATGACACAGAAGACTGGAGCAGGATTATTTTGTTTTGTTATCTCGTTTGTACCCCAACCTTTTCCCCAAGAAGCTCAGAGCAGCTTCAGTGAACCCAGGAGGGAGAAAAGCCACTTGCCTACAGTGGCCTAGGTGAGGCTCATGTTTGAGACCAAGCTTTGCATCTCCCCTGAGAAAATGGATGCAAAGTTTTTTTGAACACTCTTATGGCTACAGTCCTATGTATTCAATGAGTGTGGGGAACATTCAACACCTGCCCCTGATGTTGCTAAACTACAAGTCCCATCATCCCTGGTGATTGGCCATGCCTGCTGTTGGGAGTTGTTGTTCAGCAACATCTGGAAGGCCATAGGTTTTCCACTCCCCACAGGAATCTGACACCAAATAGACTATACTTAAAGCAGGTTGGCACAAACTTGTGCCCCATCAAGTGGATTGCAGCCTTCTAGCTATGTATGGTGACTAATCTTAGGCTTGATAGTTCAGTGACATCTAGAGGGACACCTGCTCCTCATACCAGCTATACCAACTTCTACTATGGAAAACTATGTTCAATGCAGTGGGACTTACTTCTGAGACATCATGCACAAGATAGTGCTATAGGGTAAAAAATATATATATTTCTTTTCCTCAATTAGAGGAAGACTCCTGTTGGATGACAGAAACCTTAGGATTCAACCCAGCTTTGTTCTGCTCATCTCTTTGGTAAACCACTTTGAGATGTGGTTGTTGTTTTTTTACAACCAGGTGGTGTATAAATATTATGAAATAAATAGAGTTGACCCATTAACATTAATGGATGTATAGTACACATGTCCATTAACTGCAAGTATGATTAACATGGGGTGCAACTCATAATCCTTATTTATAGTACACTAGCAGCCATGTACCCATTGTTGCTTGAGAATTCTAGAAAAAAATCACCACGGTTTTGAAAAATTCAGTCTGCCACCTTGATTCAAAATGGTATCTCATTGTACTCAACAACAACAACAAACCAAAAGCCTGCTCAATGATCTCAGGAACTATCATGGAAAACTTCAAGAAGAAGAGAATGTATGGCTCCAACCCTATCTACCAATTGATCTATCTAGACTCTTTCTTAGGTATGTGCAAACCATAAATGGTTATATGCGACTACTTTCAACTCAGAGCACCAAAACTGATCTAACTTGGTCATGTCCATTAATTCCAATGGGCCCAATCTAGGTATTACTAACATTGTTTATAACCCCTAATACAGTGATAGCTGGTGCCTACTAGGGCGGAAGGCAGAAGAAGCAACAGTTGGGAGAGCCAGAAACAATGTTAGGCAGATCTAACCAATTCTGATTTTGCACCCTTACCCTCCCTGTTGAGTTCTACAGAAGACACTATGATTAAAGAGGGGAGAGCAGGTAGCCGGTGCCAGCACCTGAACTGGATGAGGACCAGTGTCCCATTTGCCCTAATGGACCACCCTCTACTGCCATAGTCTTTAATGTTTCTCTGCATTTGCTGTTGATATTTACATATCATGAAATACTGTTTTGAAAAATTCAAAATCTTTCCCTTATTCCTTGACTGTTTTAAGTTGGGAGCTTGGTTGAGAAAACAAGGACCTTCTCTGACCTCATGGGGGGGGGTCTTGAAATGAAGTGGGTTCCCAAAAGATAAGAGCATTCCAGAAAATGTTCCATTCCACCAGGGCACCATGGCCTTGCCCTTCACCACTGAGTGTATGTCTTGGGGAAATGCCATAGCTCAGTGGCAGACCATCTGCCTTGCACGCAGAGGTTTCCCAAGCTTGCTTCCTTGCATCTCCAAGTAGAGCTGGGAGCAAAGCCTGCCCAGAACCCTGGAGAGCCACTGTCAGTCAGTGTAGGCACTACTGAACTAGATGGTCTGATGCCCTAACACAGTATAAGGCAATTTCCTGTATTCCTTTGTTCTCAAACCTGAAACCTCATATAGTTTTAAATTACACCAACCATTCTTATCTATCATCCAACCTTTCTGGATGGGAAAGCAAGACAAACACACCCTGCACACAAACACACCCCAGCCATGAACTCCCCGCTCTTTCTCCCACCCTCCCACTCCATCCATAGTCACACTATTTCTTGTCTCCACCCACCCAATCTTCATACTGCAGCCACCCCTGCCTGCAGCTACCTTGCCTTTGCTGGCTGTCTCTCCTCCTCTCCCGCTATGGCTAGGCCTTGCTCGTGGCCTTCTCATGGCCTGTTCTTCCTAGGTGCAGTGGTGTGTCCGCTTCTGGAAGTGTGCTTCTGGATGTGCTGCACCCACTTCTGGGTGTGCAGCCACAGAGGCCGTGGCAGCAGTGGTGGAGGCCATGGCGGAGGCAGAGGCAAGGCAGCAGAAACAGGACACTCCGGAATTCAAACAGAAGCATTTGCGGTTTCTGTGAATCCATGATGTCCTGCTCAGTTTGGGACAGTTGAGTGGTATGTTCTCAGTATGGCACTGTAAAGAGGTCAGAAAGATGAAGCTCACACTCGGTTAGCTGGTTAACTACATAACCAGCATTGACTGAGCACTCTCCGGAGATTCAAGAGATGCCTCTTGGAATTCAACAGGGTAGCTTTAAGGACATGTTTTAACTTTTCTGCTGTGTTAAACTGGACTCCATTGTGTGCAACATTGGTGGGATGATGCCCTCTTAATTTTAGGGACTTTACATCATCTTCACTTAGTAGTACACATATTATAATGCAGCCTAGGGACCACTTTAGCAGACAGGCAGTATAGAAATTCTCCAATAAAACCAACCAATAAAATATGTCCTACCTAAGCCACAAATCTAGGTCTATACAGTGCTACCTTCGGGTTAAGTACTTAATTTGTTCCAAAAGTCCGTTCTTAACCTGAAACTGTTCTTAATCTGAAGCACCACTTTAGCTAATGGGGCCTCCTGCTGCCGCCGCTTCGCCAGAGCACAATTTCTGTTCTCATCCTGAAGCAAAGTTCTTAACCTGCAGCACTATTTCTGGCTTAGCGGAGTCTGTAACCTGAAGCGTATGTAACCTGAAGCGTATGTAACCCAAGGTACCAATGTACTTCCATAGTTTCTTAGAATTGTAGAGTTCAAAGGGGCCCCTGAGGGTCATCTGTTCCAACCCCCTGCAATGCAGGAATATGCAGCTGTCCCATACAAGGATCAAACCTGCAACCTTGGCATAATCAGCACCACGCTCTAGCCAACTAAGCTATCTAAGGAATAATGCTATATAGTAGAGGCAATGAATGTGGAGCCTCCCAGGCAGTGCCAGATTTATGTATAAGCAAAACAAGCTATAGCTTTGGGGCCCACTCTCTTGGGGGCCTCAAAAAAATTTAAAGGGGAAAAAGCTGGATGTAGATTTCCAAAATATAAGTTAAAAAACAAATAAAATAAAACCTACATACAGCAACAGTGTTTTGTGTTGTGTAGGCTCCTATTTGTTACATGCAAATGACTTTAGATACCTATTATGTCCATAAATTACCATATAGCATATATTCAACACAAAAAACAGTGATAATTTGTTGTTGACAAAGGACAGCTGGATTATATAAAGGGCCCCATTACCTCCAGTAGCTTAGGGCCTCATCAAACCTAAATCCAGCCCTGCTCCCAGGTGTTGTTCGACTGTGGCTCCAAAAATGCTGGACCTTCGGCCATCCTGGCTGGGACTGATGGGAGTTTTGAGTCCAGAAACATGTGCCCTTGCAAAACTGAGTAAGCCTTGCCACCATACCCTCATCTTATACAGAGCCTTTATTACTGAGTGGTTTGAGTGGCTTTGCATCCTAGTATCTGCCTTAGTAGGAACTGATACACAATGCTAATTTTAAAAAAATGAAACAAAAACCATGTTTCTAAGAAGCTTCTTCATTTTAAATGGGATCGTCACATGCACAGCAACTTCCAGAGGAAAGGGAAAAGCAATGGAAAATTGTTTGCTTATACCACCATCTTGTGGCTGCTTGTTTAAAAGACTGTCTGAGGCATTCTTGTAAAAGGTCCTCATCTCTGGCTAAAGTACAGAAACACCATCAGAAACACATGCACCTGGGTGACTAGTGTGGGAACAAGATGCTGGAGGAGATACTGGATGCTGGCCTCATCCACTAAGGCTCTTCTTACGTTCTTGCTCCTGGGACACCTCAATGTCTGCTGTTGATCATAGGAAGCTGCCTTCAACTGAGTCAGACTATGCCTCCCATCCAATCCAATACTGCCTTCTCTGACTGGCAGTAATCTCTCTGGAGTCTTTAGTAATCATCTTTCCCCATCTCCACTGAAATTCTTTTGAACTGGCTTGAACCTGGGACCCTTCTGCATGCAAGATGGGAGCTGTTTTAGGGGAGGACTGTTTAGGGGGAGCTGCCCTAAAATGGTGTGGGACCAGTTTATCCAAAGGACTGTCTTCTCTCATATGAACTTGCTCATTCACTGAGTCCATCATTAGAGGCTTGGCTCCATATATCCTCTCCTATGGGTGGGAGGCTGGTAGTTACGTTAAAGTTACCAGATTCTTTTCCATGAATCTGGGGACACTTTTCAACTTCAATGGATTTTGTCCAGGACTGATTTGTAAATCCGGGGACTGTCCCTGGGAAACGGGGACATCTGGTAACATTAAGTTACATGAGCAGGGCCTTTTCAACCTTGACCCACTCTGGCCCCCAGAATTTGATTAACTTTACTCCTGTTTCCTTTTAGCTTTCAAGACTCAAACTTATCTTTTCTCTTGCACTTGTCCTCCTGCCTAATTATTGTATTGCTTTTTTCTTTACTTTTGGTGCTGGATTGTGTTATAATCTTTTTAAATTCTTTGCGTTATGTTTGTGTGCATTGTGATTTTATATAAGCTGTTGTGAGCACTGAAAAAATGGAGAGGTCAAGGATATGAATACAAAACACACATACAAAAGTTGGTCAAATAGTGGTGAGTTGTTTATTTGCCCTTTTCCTTCTTGCTCGTTTGTTTCTCAACATCATCTTGGACGGATGATGAAGAATGGCTATCACTGCTTTCATCACTCTCATCACCACTGTCTTCTTCAGAATCATCTCCTTTGGGGCCTCTTCGTAATGCATTAAAACATGAGCTGAAATGCCACAAAAAAGAAACTTCAATGAGGATATTGTGCATTTCCTGGCAGATTCCAGGTACATTTAATGGTGGGAAGGGTAATAAACCAGGGCTGCAGCTATACTGACCTGTTCAATGTTATTTTCCCATATCAGAACGATATTAGATATGTCGTTCTAAAATGTCACTTGCTATTTAACATTTTTATCATGCCCCCCTCCCGCCCGGTCAAATGTAAGTAATACCCAGCCACACCATTTTCCAAAATGCTGTTTCATTCCCTGCTGGTGGTCACTGGTTGCTCTGTTATGCCCTCTGGGGGGATATGTGAGCAGTGTTTCACCAATGTAGCAGCATAAAATGATTAAAAATTAAGCTATAAAAAGACAAGGTCATTATTAACGTAAAAAGTAGGAAGTCATGTGTCCATTTATGTTATCGAAACCATTCCTTAACTCTTCCTTAACATTAAAAACCATGAGTATAGATCTGCCCCAGGTCTTATACCAGGTAAGACTATTTTCCAGTTTCCGCACTGACTGGCGATAACTCGACAGGGCTCAGGCAGGCATCTTTCCCTTCCCTTCCTATCTGATCTTTTAACAGGGTGATATCAGGGATCAAACCTGGGACGTTATGCATTCATGGTAGCAAGTGAAGGGAAGGATCCCTGCCCGAGACCTGAGCTACTGCAGGTCAGAGTAGAAGCACTGAATTTAAGAACCAGTAATCTCACTCAAAAGGAACGCGGGTGGCGCTGTGGGTTAAACCACTGAGCCTAGGACTTTCTGATCAGAAGGTCGGCGGTTCGAATCCCCGCAACGGGGTGAGCTCCCGTTGCTTGGTCCCTGCTCCTGCCCACCTAGCAGTTCGAAAGCACGTCAAAGTGCAAGTAGATAAATAGGTACCGCTCTGGCGGGAAGGTAAACGGCGTTTCTGTGCACTGCTCTGGTTTCGCCAGAAGTGGCTTAGTCCTTCTGGCCACATGACCCGGAAGCTGTACACTGGCTCCCTCGGCCAGTAAAGCGAGATGAGCGCCGCAACCCCAGAGTCAGCCACGACTGGACCTAATGGTCAGGGGTCCCTTTACCTTTTTAATCTCACTCAAAGCAAGAGAAATTCAGATGATTGCAACAGTTATAGGAAGGTGTGAGAGAGGGGTTTTGCTGCTTCCTTCCACCCTAGTCTATTTGCTCTGTCCATTTTTCTCCATCCCCAGCTCAGTTCCAGTAAACCAGGAGTGGGTAGCATGTGGGCTTCCAGATATTGCACTTCAACCCCCCCCATCAGCCCCAGTTAGCATGGCCAATGGTCAGGGATGCTCCAACAGCCTCTGGAAGGCTACAAGTCCCCCAACGCTGCAGTAAGCCCTATCCCCCTAAATCCTCTCCTTTATATAAGAACAAGGAAGGCACGCCAATCCGTCATGTCCAATTTAGCTTTCAAAAAGCCAAATGCAGCAGCAACAGGTGAGAAATTCTTTACTTGTGCAATGCACCTGCAGATGAAAGACCCACATACAGCTTTGGTAATTTCCCAATATATGCTACACTCTTGCAGATGTGTTGAAACAACTCACTGGAACCCTAGGCCAAAAGAGGTGCCATCTTGAAACTAGAAAAGATAATGCTTCCTTACAGTTTTGCTTCTTTTGATGTATTCAAACATTTCAATGAGGGTGTGCTAGAAATTAAAATGGTTCAACATCTAGTTAATTATGGCCTTTTTTGCTTGCTTGCTTGCTTTCTTCTTCTTCTTTTTAAAAAAGGCCTTTTTAAGCAACATCCAATAATATTCCTAGCAATAGCAGCAGTCCATCCACTCCACACAGCCCTTCCTGGGCAAATCACTTCAGCATTGATATGAATCCCATCTCTCACACATTCATTTCCCAGGGCTTATCTTAGCAGACCATTCTTTGCTAATTCTAGTCTCTTGTTTGGAGATGTGCCAGTGGCTCTGCTTGGCTATCCGCAGTTTCAGCATTGGGTGCTGAGAGCAGAGGAAATTGTAAATGCAAAGATTCTATGCAGGAGGTCCATGTGTGCAAACTTTCAACAAATAACCATCTGGCGAGCGGAGAGGAATAATGCCTGAGTGTGTGTGGTTCCATATGCCCAGGCAGGGCAATTTATTTTTCATGGTAAATAATTTGATAGCTGAGCAACTTTATGCTAAAAATTTGTGTGGGAACATAGGGAAGTTACGGTACCCCAGATCAGACTGTTGGCCTGCCTATTGTTCTACCCTGATGGACAGTGGCCACATCCATACCATATGTTTAAAGCACATTCAGCAATCATATAAAGCAAATGGTTGCCCACTCCCCCCTTCAAATTCTGGAAATTGTATTTCGTTCAGGTTGCTAGGAATTGTAGTTCTGTGAGGAAATTCCACAGGGCAGGGCCTGCCACACTAAAGTGAAGGCCAATCTAATCTCAGGGGCATGGGGAACCTCCAGAAATGTCCCATCAGGAGGTCACAGTGATCAAGGTGGATCTTCTAGGTATGGGGTGGAAATGTGTCTTCTCATCTCCTGCTTCCTGGTCCCTTTAATGGAGATGTCAGAGACTGGACGTGGGGCCTTTTGGATGTGCTCTGCTGCTTAGTTGGAGATGGAGGGACTCTATCTTAGAGACACCAACTTGCAAGTGTGGTGGGGGGCCCAACATCCCACATGTGATGATATCATGTCAGGACATCATGCCAGCTTGGAGGAGCCAGGAATGTGGTGGCTTCAATGGTTCGTGGCTGCTGCTGCTGCTGCTGCTACTGCCACCAGGAGAAGAAGGATGACCCAGCCACTAAGGCCACATTGCCATTCTGTTCCTGGCTCCTCCAACCTGACATGACCTTTTTTTTTTAACATGGGGGGGGGTGTCCCTCACAAGCAAATGTTGAGGGCATCCAAAAGGGTTTGGCCCCTAGGAGTCGGCACCTCTGCTCCCTCCACTCCACTGCATTTTACTGTGAGAGTGCCGAAGTGTCCCATAATGCAGCTGTGCTTTTACACAGGAGGAAGTATCTCTTACCTCCTCTCCACAATAAAACAGCAACATGGAAGACACGCAAGAAGGATCAGTCCTCCTATCCCGGCACCAAGCATCCGCAGGATCTGTTGAGGGCCTGTTACAGTTCAATCAACATCAGCTTGGCTTGTAACTGTCCTACAACCTAGTAATGAGTCAGCTTTGCTTCATGGCCGCATCTGCAATAAATAATCTCCATGGCACGTGGATGTCTATAGTACACTAGGAGCTGTGCTCCTGTTTGCTCCACCACCACCCCTGCCATTTTCCCCACATTAACCCCCTGGAGCTTCCACCTCCCACTACTTAAGCTCAACTACTTAAGCTCAACCTGATTTCTGAAGCCACTTCCCTTTTCTACTCTGCAACTCTGCTTTATACCCCTTTGTACAGTGGTGCCTCGCAAGACGAAATTAATCTGTTCCGCGAGTCTCTTCGTCTTGCGGTTTTTTCGTCTTGCGAAGCACGGCTAATAGCGGCTTAGCGGCTACTAGCGGCTTAGCGGCTATTAGCGGCTTAGCGGCTATTAACGGCTTAGCGGCTTTAAGAAAAAGGAAACAAACTCGCAAGAACTCGCAAGACGTTTCGTCTTGCGAAGCAAGCCCATAGGGAAATTCGTCTTGCGGAATGACTCAAAAAAGGAAAACCCTTTCGTCTAGCGAGTTTTTCATCTTGCGAGTTTTTCGTCTTGCGGGGCACCACTGTACATGCCTTCACTCCCATGCCTCCTTTCCCCTCCTTTTGTGCAACCCCTCTTGCACATAAACCACTCCATGGTAATGTCTTGCATCTCCTCCTCCTACATACTGCAACTACTACACACTTTGTTCACCTTCTACCCAAGTTATGAAGCATACCCTGCAAGTGTCCTGGGACACACACACCCTTTTTTTAAATCACTACAGAATGGTGATGTTTTGGGTGCCATGATCTTTCCCAACTCCTTTCCTGTTGCAGTCAAGTCTCTGCAACTAGAAAGCTAGCACAGGAGTGAGATAGAAGCTCTACCTCTCTGTTTTGTTTTGTTTTGTTTTTAATGTGGGTTAGATTTAAAACAAATATATGTTCCTTCACAGGCAGTCTGACATGGTAACGTCCACACTCCTGCCTCTGGACTTCTACCACTTCATTCCGCTGCACCTGTATAGAGGATGTTAAGTTTTGTACCGCAGTTACATGGTTAGTGGGAAAAGTTTATTTCTGGGATGCAACCCTGAGTTCAAACTGCTCTGATGTAAACCAACACTCCTGTGCTATCACAGAAACATAGGAGAACCATTGTGGTGTAACAGCTAAAGTGCTCTCATTCCTATCAGCCCCCAAATGCCTGGCCTGGGGTTAAAACTGATGGGATTTAGAGCTATTGGAGGGCAGCAGGCTAGGGGAAGCTGTGATAAGGCATTCATTTTAAATTGAGTGTTAGATAGGGAAGTGTCTTGGGGGGAGTATTCCCTATAGGAGGGGAATGAACAATTACTTTACAGTTAATGTCCCTTTAAAAAATTAGTTTTATTAGAGATTTTTTGTTTTGCAACACAAGCAAACAAATAATTGGGTGAAAGTACATTCTATTGCACAGCATTCATGCAGGGTATCGTGTCAGCATCATGTGGGTAGGTCTTTTTTATTATTATTAATATGTCCTTTTATGCCAGTATTTTTCATTATTACATTTTTTCAGAGGCGGTCAAGGTGGCATAGGAGCCAACTCCTAGGGGCCGTGGGTACTCCAGCCCCCACAATAAAATATTTCAGGGGCTGGTCCACTGGCGGAGGAAGAGGAGTGCGGGGGGAGTGCACTGCCCGCGGCAGCGTGATCCCAGTAGGGAGCCA